CATTTATATCTTTTTTTTTTTTACTTTTTTGAAAATAATATTATCAATGTCTCTAATTAATATTTTGCTTAGAGTAATTATGTAACGATACAGATTCACCACTAGTAGATATTGCCTTCTTTGAGCTTTCCCTTTCGAACTTCCCTTAAAAGCTTTAAAACGCGTCTTTAAAGGAAGGTTTCCACTCCTTATAAAGGGTGTATTGTTCTCCTCCCTAACCAATGTGGGATATCACAAATTATGTGTTGGATGACCATACCTAAACCCTAAAACCCTAAAACTCTAGACCATATCAAAACCCTAAACCATCCGATACTTTTGTGCTTAGTTTTACCTAAAAATGACGACTTGATGATAACTCAAACAGTTAACACATATGTTATCGACCAAAATGTCAAATATTCAAAACCATCCACCCATGCTGACTCAAATAAAAAAGTTATAGTCAAAAAGACTTCAAATCAATAGAAACCCGATCATTTCTCAGCTACATTCGGAATTAAATGAAGAAAAAAAAAAGTTAAAAGTGTAAAGGGGAAGGGGGGAATTATGAACGTTGGATCCTCCAAACTCAAATGATTATGGAAGCAAACTTTTGGCCATGCGCCCTTCTTTTTTACATTTATTTAACCCCATTATTATTTATTTATTATTATTATTATTTATTTTAGTTAAAAACCTTTTTATTAGATTCAAACAAAATCACTAATCTATATATTCTTTGCATTTCCATATATTTAGTTGGGAGTGAAATTCCACTTTTGCCCCTGTTTGTTAAATGGTTCATTAAATTGTATTAAAATAAATTTTATTTCACTTAATTAATTTTGTTTTTATTTTTTATTTTTGAAGTATGCTAAATTAATAAAATAATATTTTAAATCATCTCGTTCTTGTATATAATTTTGTAAATATAGAAGCGGTGAATCAAATTTTGGAAGATAATAGATATTTTATTAACTTGATTTTTCATTTCAATCATTTACAAAAGCATAATAGAAACTTTAATGATGAGATTTTAAAATATATGTAACATTAATTTTTTTTTCATATTATAAAATTAAATTAATTTTATTTCATCCTATAGTATTTAAAATTTATGTGGGTTGCTTTTTATTAATTCGTTGACTCGTTTTTCAATAGGCACTTGGTGCTTAGATATAGATAGTCTGTATCTTCACTGACATGTCTTTTTCACTTGGTCTCTCTTCAAAACAATGGTCAAATCATTACTTCTTCTATAGAGAAGAAAAACGAGCTTGTCAATAGGTTGAAGACACGTGGGCATATGTGCTTCATGTGCACGTGGAGGTGCAAGTAGCCAAGGAGCTAGGCGTGTGAGTCAACGCAAGCACAAGTGTAGCCATGTGGAGACTTCTTTTGACCTACTCTATCAGAATTGGTCTATAATAACTTTAAAAATTATTAAATACATAGTCGAATTCTTTTGGCAATGGGTGAATAAAACAATAATAAATTATTTACCGCTTTAATTTGGTACCATAGATAGGTTTGGTCAAACACAAGAGTGAATATTTTTTTAACGGGATGAAATTGGGGGTAGATGTTTTTTTTTTTTTTTTTTTTTTTTTTTTTTTTTTTTTTTTTTTTTTTTTTTTTTTTTTTTTTT